ATACCACATGAATTGCCTTTATCGTGGGGACTAAGCACGATATTCTTGAAACAGCATTTTAGGTGACCTCTGCCAAGGTTTTCTACCCACTGTCACGCGAAATGACTACGATATTCGTCATCAGCGGCTTGAATAACCCCCATATACCGAGTTTGAGCAAGACCCACCACAAAAACATTTTAGGGCCCGGATAGCCGAATAAGCCATCAGTTTTTAGAATTATCCACTTTTATCGCTTTATTGTTTTTTTTGCAGAGTTCAAGCTATGGGGCTGGGGGGTTGGTGAGGAAGGTAGGTGAGCATACTGATTACTAACACAGCGGGTATAAGGTGCATGTAGAAGTGGGCACAGGTAAAGGTGTACAGGGAAAAAAATGGAGCCTTTACCGTTGACAGGGCCGGGCGGAGCCGGGCATGCCAGCTAGTCGTTCATAAAATCCGCCACTTAGTGGGTTCATAGTTACTCGAACACCCCATAATTTGGAAGTTTTCAAACCTTTTGAATTCAAGAACCGCTGGCACTGCGTGAAAAAACATAGCGAAAACGGTGTACGCGGGACAAGAATGTAAATCAGCGTCAGCTTTATGAATGATTCCGCACCGAATTCAAATTTACAACCACATTAAACAAAGTTCCTTTTTTCGCTGAAAACTGTAGCATTTCGAATCAAAAAATCTCCTATTACAGTAACAAGGATAGAAAGGTCTGCTATACATTGTACTCGAACCAGTTGAAAAAGAGTAACGTTAATTTTCTCAAGTGGTTCAAGGTGCTTTTGGAGTCAGTGTGCTCCAAGAAATTCTGTTTTTCTGCGATTCAAACGCTCTAGCAGCGTCTGCTAAGGCCACCAGATAAAATGAGCTTTTCAGATAGATACTTTGTCTGAGTTTGTGAGATTTTCTGTGCACTATCGCTTTTTCTATCAAGCTCCAACCTTACCCTAAAGTTAGCAAAATTGCGGAGGGGGGGGGGGCTTTTTATAGATCGGGAACTTTGCACTTAGGACCGCATGCATTAACATCCCCGGCGGGAATGTTGATGCATGCGGCTCCTAGTCTTGACACTTATCTCACGCCTAGTTTCGCATCTCTAGTCTCACGCGGTGAATCGGATTCTCGATTACGGCTGAAAAACGGAGACTTCTCATACAAAAGTTTCCTGATTATCTTGAACTCTTCGGTATGCCAGGATGCTAATATCATGAACCAGTTGTCCATTGCAATAGACAAGAACTTCTTTATTACCAAGATTTTACACGATAAACATCTGTAATGCACACAAATCAATACATTAGTTGATTTTGTGATTTTGATTTGTGCCAAAGAGGTTTTTATGGTGGACTTTATTGCCTGACATTTCGACAAGTATCGTCTTCTTCGGAGGCCTGAAAGGGATTGAACTTTTGTATTCGTCAGTCTACACGACCAAACGCCTTCTCTAACTTGCGGCGTTTAGACCTCGTCTAGGTTCAACGTACTGGTAAAGAATCTGAAGAGAGTCACCATCTTTCAGTCCACCGTAGAGTTAGTAGTCCGCACGACTGTGACGGACATCACTGAGAGGAGCTCAGTGAGTCAAAGCTATATATACAGTCTGCGGTTATAGATGACATAATGATATGAAGGGCAAGAGGTCACTGGTCATTGTCAAGCAATCGTTTTTATTATTCATCCCCGGATTTCCGGCGAATATCCATGCTGCCTCTAATCTTTCTTGCAGAAATTGTCGTCCCATACGCTAATATCGTGCATTTTACATTAAAATCGTCACCTTCATGTGCCTCAACTCTATGTGTTCCCAATAGTGATGACGATGTACCCCGCCTTTTGCTGGCCAGATGTTCCTTTAATCTAATACTTACAAGGGAAGGATACTTGGTGACCGTGGCCTTTCGCAATGGCATGTATATCAGCAGGTGCGTCTTGGAACGCTGATTCTATATCTTATATATAAAGCTGAATGTCTGTTTGTCTGTCTGTCTGTACGTATGTTCCGAATAGAAAATTCCATCTCTGAACCGATCCAGACCAAACTTGGCACACATACACATCGGGCCCCGGTGTCATAGGCCACTTTCGTCATCGATCGATATCGATTTTATCGATTTTTTGCAAAATTTGAGCTACGGGGCTGGGAGTTGGCACAGGGGGGGTAATCGAGCATGCTGATTACGAATATAATAATGACAGGGCCGGGCGGAGCCGGGTAATCAACTAGTCTATATAAATCTATATTCACTATCTACTGTGCGACTCCCTGAACGAAGTTATGGACTTTTTTCCGTATTGATTTTGCGAGATTTAGGCAGTCAATGTCGTCAGTATCCAGGCTTTCTAGCCTCTGATGTATTGGTGACAGTTTTCCTGGAGCTAACTTGAACCTTTACTTTATCTGTACGCTATTTCGTAGTGCGTGAGCGAACACTGTGACGATATTGGTGAATCCTGCAGCAAAAACAGTTCAAATTTTGGTGATAAGAAATGTTCATAACTTTTTTCGGAGGAGCGCACAGCAGATAATGAGAACACATTTGGAATCAGCGCTTTAAGATGCATTCAACGGTGCATGTTTTATTTCAAGAGGCCACGGTCACCAAGTATCCTTTCCTTGTTAGTATCCTTCCGGACTCTCCTACATAACTTAAGCTCATCACTTCAAGTAATTCAGAATTTTGAGCCACAAGGCCTGATGGTTTTAACTCCTTAGACCAGAAGATGTAGCACTGGGTACTAAAGACGTATTGATTATTCTCTCATCAAGATAATCAATTAAGCTCACCCTTGACAGTTGTTATCTGATGAAGCTTTTTGCGTTCTATCCATACGTCAATTTACGTGACTTTTCATTTCCAAATTAATTGTCGGCCAGAACATGTTCTTAGCCTAATAATCTGCGCCAAACTTCGCACTTTTCGAATAAAGTGCCTCTTTCATACAAAATTATGGAGAGTTCTGTACATTCAAAAACTTTAGAAAGAGCTCGGAAAGCTCTTTCGATTGTGCAGGATGTATAAGGACTGTGGAGGACAGCAGCAGTTATCTGGCGTTCAAAAAATCTCTCTGACTTCCTCGAAGCGCTGCTCGAATATTTGTGAGGGAGTGCTACAAGGTACTGGCAGAATAACTGCGAAGGTCACTTTGTGAAAAAGCATTCATGCTGGTCGTTCATAGTTAGTTGGAAGACACCTTAGAAATGTTTAAAAAATCAAGGCCTTATTATCTTGGACCACTCTCATAGATGCTTATATTCAGGAATGGAGGCAGTAGACCAAATCTGGTATAGCGTAAATTACTATTGGATCGTTGCCGAAAGATTAGTATGAAGTGGGAATAATTGTACAAGTTCCTCCCCTCCTCTCCGCTCTCCATTATCAATGCCTATAGTATACTAGACGCGGAGCAGCGAGACTTCACAACTGGCCGTAGTGTTTACACCTCGCACCTCGAAATTGCTCTTCGTATGAAAAGTCACTCACTGCACAATTTCGAGCCTCAAAACACAGATTCTGAAATCCTATGATATGATAAGCACAAAGTATGTATAAGCCTGTAAGATTTCGTGTTTGACTAGAAAAGTTCGCAACCCTGTGCCTTGCCCAATTTATATCTACGCAAGTGTTTTTATTATAACAATTATTGCAATTACAGTTTTTCTGGCGTTTCAGCTCCAAAGCTCCACAAACCTTCCAAAAAATCCAAATAGTTTAGCGCGAATGCATCATCATACAACCAATGCAGTCGTCTGATAGCAGCTCTTTGCGAGAAGTAGAAGCTGAATTGTCAGGCTTAGAAATATGCTAGGGTTTCGAAAAAGGTTGGCTGAAAACGCAAAATGTGCAGTGGTTTTTCCCTAGCGTTTAACAGAAAGCTATCAAAAAAGCTCAGTCTATCTTTTGAGCGCACTGACTGAAAAAGCGTTTTGAGACATTTGAGGAACGCTCCGCTTTTTAAACTGCACTGGGTTCAGTGTGTAGCAGTGCTTTTGAACATTGTGACTAATTTCCAAAAAATGTGTGTATCACTATGAACCGCACCTCAGTAGGCGTTATTGGTCTAGTCACTCACCGTCGCGCGTGCTTAACAAAAGCAACATGTGTTAATTTCGTTGGATGCTAATTCGACGAATTGTAGCATCAGGCAGGATTTGACAGAAAAAGCCCTTTGATTCAACTGGATTGAGGCTTCGTGACCTGAACAAGGCTAGAGAATGACGTAAAGCACGTTCGCGATAGAGAGGCGGATTGGCGGGTGCGAGGGTCGCCTTCCAGACATAAATCTCGTCGAATTTTTGGCGTTATAAGACTTCAGTGCCTTTGCGTGCAGTCGAGGTGAGGTGACTAGACAGGTGGCGCCTACTATACAATTTCGTTACTTCTCTGTGAGTCTTATCTAATGCCGCATTTTCAACGAAGTCCGAGGCAGCAAATTTATAGAACTTTGTACCAATCAATGATTGGATACGTTTTATGCATAGATATATAGATGTAAGAATAAGCAGAATAAGTGCAATTCTTGCAAGCAAAACAATGTAAACCACAAGGATATCCTGAATTTTTTCTTTCTCATATGTTTGAGAAGGCTATGGTCTTAACCTTGAAAACTTAGTTGAAAAAATGAGGTAACCTTGCAGCATTCCACTTTTTTCTAAAATTAGACTAAATTTTTGACTAACAGCTCGAGCATTCAATTTCGAGCTTTTCAAGTATTAATGTAGAGTAAAGAAGTGGGAAAAGATACCATCTGATTCAACTGGCTTGGCATCGGCAAAGGCGGGGCTTCGTAACCTAATTAAGGCTAGGCAATGATCAGAGAGCACTCGGGCGGGAGAGACGCAGGTGCGTCGCGGGTGCGAGCGGCCTCAATTAGATCACAGAACCCCGCCCTAATGGTGCCAAGCCAGTTGAATCAAATGTTATGTAGCTAAACCAGCAAAACTGAATAGGGAAACTGAACCAACTTCGAATGGCCTTTATAATGCACTTGATGATTTTTTTCTACAGGCCCATTCAAAAAGGTAGCAATTATACGCTTTACGAAACCGAAACAACCACAACCACAACCACCACGACTCCTGCAACCACTGCTACAACCATTGCATCAACCGCCATTGCCTCCACAGCAGCTACCACTGAAAACACTACCAGCGTAGCCAACACGCCTACAGCCACACCATGTCCAACAGCTCCAACAACTCCGTGTCCAACAGCTCCAACAACTCCGTGTCCGACCTATCCGCCAGCGAGAGCGAAAAGGGAGGTGAAGGCAGTAAATGCGCACGTGTTTGTGAAGAGAGGAAAGTTACCCAAAGCTGCACCTGGTAAGCATACTTTACATTAGTAACAGCTATTCAAGTCATTAGGATGTGAGATATCAGAGGAACCTCCATAGCATAATCGGTATAGCTGTATTTCCATCAGCATATGAAGACAAGACTTATAGTCTCAGAAAAGGTCTCATTTGAGGAACGCATGGAGCCAGATTAGGAATTTAAATGTTGAAAAGTAAACTCAACAAGGTAGGCTTGCGAAATCAAAGCGGCCGATCACTACAAGATGCAAATCATACGAAGAGCTCAAAGCGCAGATTTCAAATCTGCATTTCACATCTGCAATACTTTTGGAAAATAGATTTTAGGTGAATTAAGTTCAAATAGCTGCAAGTTTGCAAGACTAAGAATGGCCAGAATTATCAACACCTGAGCATTCAACACTCAAACCTACTTGGAACAGCTTATCCGTGCTTAATGTGATGCTTTCCTACTTCTAGTGTTATCCAGTAGTACAAACAGCAATTCAAACAATTTCCATTCGATTTCGATGATTAAAAAAACCCCATAACCTCCTTCCCAAAAGCGTTTTGCAGATAGAAAAAAGAGATTTGAAATCAGCGTTTCAAGTTCTTTCAGAAAATGTGCATCATGCGATAATTGGCCACTTCAACTTCGCGGCTTCCCCCCCCCCTTGCTGAATTTGTTAGAGTTTGACAAACTCGTTGAAAACAATTACGTTGTCATGTAACAATGTGCTAAGGGAAATTCCAATACGTCTTTCTCAATGATTGCACTAGGTTGTTTCGAAAGTTCTATCCAATTTGCGATTTTTTCATTTGAATTCTTATAACTTTTTTCAAAATCAACAATTTTTAACAACTTAATTTTTGTTGAATTAAACTAGTTTATGGCTATCACAAGCACTGTATGCCGTGTAAGGAAGGCAAGCGAGAGAGAAGAGGAAATTTTTGAATTCTGTCAGGTTTTCTTCAAAACCGCCCAGTTTGACTTATTAATGCTTCAATATGAGGATGAACACACATATTTGGCTGCCATCATTAAGTAGCCTATACTTCAGAGGTTTTTCGCGGCTAAAGTCGAGTTGTCCTTGCTGATAGAAATTTTTGCGAGCAAATCAAAAGACCCCACTATTTGAGCCCTCCTCCGCGTTCGAAAATACAGTGCTGGCCAAAATTATAGGTCCACTCTAATAAATGCCATAACTCACTCTGTTGTGAGTGAAATTTTCCAAAATTTGGTAGAGACGTGTGTTTACCAGCCTACTATCAATCTTCAAAACGGTTCTCGTTTTCGTTTGATTATTCAAGAAAAAATTAGAAATTTTGAAAAAAGCAGGCTTGAAGGCTGGCCAAAATTATAGGTCCACCTGGAGTTTCTACTGATTAAAGCACTTCTTAGCTCCCGAATTTTTTTAGGTAGGCACACATCCAAAAACGTTAAACAGCTGCTTTAGTCAAGCTGTGTCATACCTCCACAAAGGACGGATTATCTGCTTTTTTGTCTTGAAGATGCTCTCACATGTATTTCGCTCCACAAATATCCGTTGAGTAAGAAATTTTGCAGTTTCTCAGTTGGATCGGAAGGGACGGGGTTTCATTTATCTTCTGGATGCTTTTTGACGTGAGCATTGAGGAAAAAATCCGACTTTTTGCTGCTGAAGCAAATCTGACATTGACAATACTGCAATCCTGAGCTCAAATTTCTGCCTTCAAACTTCTTTTACAATGTTCTCAGAAGCATTGAGTAAAGTAAACGCATTGTTTCTATGAAGGGGATTCCGTATACCATAATTACAACTTTCTAGAGATCCTAGCATTCGAGTATAACTACTGAATATGAGTATAATTACACTCTGCAGAAACTGATTACGACAAGCACCAAAGCTACTTGTGGCTCCGACCAAAATTTTCAGAAAATCATGTGCTAACATACACTACAAGCTGTATCCACTATCTAGTAAATAATTACTGTCAAAAATCTAAGTGAGGTAGCACTTGGAAAGCTATTTTGGATCGCGTAACACCATTATTACGTTGCACACACAACTCATGTTTCGAAAAAGAAGCAAGGCAGCTTTGTGGACACTTGCGAATATGGCGAACAGCTTTATTCTTGTGTAAAAAATGCTTCTACATTATCTTGAGGTTATAATGACAATGCATAAAGGGTTTTAGGGCAGAAACTAGGGCTTACTCTGCCGATTAAGCCGATGTCAGATTTGCTTCAGCAGCAAAAAGTCGGGTTTTTTCCTCAATGCTCACGTCAAAAAGCATCCAGAAAATATATGAAACCCCGTCCCTTCCGATCCAACTGAGAAACTGCAAAATTTCTTACTCAACGCAGGTTTGTGGAGCGAAATACATGTGAGAGCATCTTCAAGGCAAAAAGCAGATAATCCGTCCTTTGTGGAGGTATGACACAGCTTGACTAAAGCAGCTGTTTAACGTTTTTAGTATATGTGTGCCTACCTAAAAAAATTCGGAAGCTAAGAAGTGCTTTAGTCAGTAAAAACCCCAGGTGGACCTATAATTTTGGCCAGCCTTCAAGCCTGCTTTTTTCAAAATTTCTAATTTTTTCTTGAATAATCAAACGAAAACGAGAATGGTTTTGAAGACTGATAGTAGGTTGGTAAACACACGTCTCTACCAAATTTTGGAAAATTTCATTCACAACAGAGTGAGTCATGGCATTTTTTAGAGTGGACCTATAATTTTGGCCAGCACTGTATGCCGACTTTCTAATTAATTTTTTCTTGCTGTCACAGAAGAAAAAAGCCAACCGACGATTCCTTCGTGCCCTCGCCGTATTCTAACATAAGCAATATTGAATGCATCACCCGTCGCTGTACGTAGATTGTTGTCGCTTATTGAATTACTGAGTTTGTCTTCCATCTTTGAAAAAAAAAATTGAAAAAGTAAGACATTCTCTACGTCGGAGGAAAAGTGTGCTTATGTTAGCCCTTACACCCTCAACCATTATAAATTATCATATATCTAGGTTTACGAATACTGCGGAAGTTTCCTTCATGGAAACTTTTTCTCGGGCATAACTGCATTTTGGAAACTTTGCTTCGGGGCTTAAATTTCATCAAAGGAAAGCTGACTGCCAGACATCAGTAAGCACTAGAAAGAGAAAGAAAAGTACTTCTAGATCATGGTTATGACAATGCCGTAAGTGCGAAACCCTAAGAAAATAGCTACGTTAAAACAAAGAAATTATAAAACGAACAGAACTTTTGAAACAGCCTAGTATATAGTCGTGGTTTTTGTTCACTTTTTTATGACTCAAAGTTACTGATTTTAGATGAGAATACAATCTGCTCCAGCAATATAGGAATGACAGACTCAATAAGAGCGCTTTTCCTTGACATGCATAATTATCGCAGGTAACTGTAGACGACTAATTTTGAAGTCGTTACCGAACAGCCAGTAATCAGTTCAAACTCGTATGTTTCAGAGCCAAGCTAGCTCTGGGAGAAGTCACCACTTATAATCGTAAGCGCATGCTACCAGCCAAAAATATGATGAAATTGGTGGGTAAGCAGATTATTACCACTAAAATTTGATTCAACTCCTTGTCAGAGCTATGCCTGCGGACTGGAAGCATCGGCTTTACGCTACGCTGCCCACTGCCCATTAACAAAGTCTAAAGCGAGCGTTAGACCAAACCAGGGAGAAAACTTTTTACGTCTTGCGAAAGTCGGCTTTTCAAGTTGTGCAGATGCAGTAAACATGGTAAGTTAGGCACACTGAAACGACGTCGACTAAACTTAATTACAGACTGTTTACGATTGGTGGGATGTTGTCAATGATACTCCTGTCATTGATAACACAGCAAAACTTCTTACTCGCCGTCTTCGCTCTCCTATAGCAACTTTTACGCAGGTATATTTCATTCGTTGACCGCAGCCGCGAGGTAAAAAGCTTGCCCCAACACAAATTCGCCATTGTACAAATCGTTCCCTCGCAACATTTTAGCCATGCCGCGCGTGTTCCGCGGCGTTTGAGCAGTCCATACGGTCAACGAAACAACGATAAGTTTGTAATCATAATGAATGAGCTGGAAAAAAACCTGAAAATATAGATGGCATGGGCAACTACTAGATTTTTGGGATGTGCTATAGCCGACTGCAATTCATACTATGTATCCATCTGTAGGTATTCTCCAGAGTGAGTCTTTAATCCCAAAAATTGCATTGGTCCTAAAAAGCCTTTTTAGGGGAAATGTTATCGGAGAAATGGTCTATGAGCCTGGCCATACTTGCACTGAATGCAGCCGTGGTACAACATGCGAAGAAGAATTGGGGCTATGTGTCTAAGACACTGACAACTACCACATGAGAATCATTTTTTTTACCCTATGAAGTGCGTATGTTCAAATACCATGTATCTTACTTATGACTCCCAAAAAGGGCGTCTAAACGCAACTTCTTCAACATCTGTGTTAAAGAGTTTTCCAATAAAATGTAAGTCGGTTGGCATTTTCGTCTGTGTGTCCCTCAGTGTTCCTCGAAGTCCTGCCCTCACATGAAACGGGCTCTTGTGTCAATCAGCTACTCATGCAAGTTTTCAGTGACGGATATTATCAAAAACAAAATTAGCTCATGCAAACAATCGTCAGACTGAACGCGCTAAGCAGTTTAGAAAGTTTTAGCAAATTTTATAATATGTTCCTTGGTGCTAGTAAAAGTTTGTTTTGCAGCACTCAAATCCTACTGTCTTCAAAATCATATTACATTGGTCCGAAAGTCCTTCATTTTATTTTCAAGAAATCGTAAGTTCTCGCTATTTAGAAAAATATGCTTCGTTATAATTTCATTGAAAAAAAAGATGCTTTACTTTGTAGTACTTATAGCACGTACGTCTCCGCTGGGGAGGTAAGGGATTTGAGAGGGGCATCGTATCTTGCTACTCTAGATATCTGCATTCTTCTTCCCCTAATTTATGAAAGTTCTCATTTGATATTTGAGCTTGACAGTAGATAGCCGAACGCTGCCATACAAGTTGAGATTTTCACTATTTGCTGTGATCTCCCAGGAGAATTTCAGTGGGAATTCTTATTTTCAATATTATCTACCAGTGGCGTACCCAGGATTTCGGCTCGGGGGGGGGGGGGGCGCGACAAAAAAAATTTTCTAATGAAGGTGCGTGGCGTTAGCCACGCATTCCGAAAGAATTTTTGGGGTGCTTCTAAAATTTTTGCGGCCCAACCCCTAAAATCTGAAAAAAGGGGGCGTGGCGTCAGCCACGCCCACGAAAAAAATTTTTTACAAGGCTAATTTGTATTTTAAAAGCTTTTAAAAATTATTTTAATTATTTAAACGTAAAGACAAGTCCTTTGCGCATTTTTATAACACATTTAAGTAACTTTCAAAAATTTCGCGGCCCATTCTCGGGGGTTGGGGGGGACCCGCCTCCCCCCTCGGTACGCCACTGTTATCTACTTATGGGTGACCCCAAAAGAATTTCAGAGATTCGCCTTTGTTCAATGTCGTCTATCTTTTAAGTCAATAAAAACTTCGTAAACTTGTACTGAGGATCACTATACCACTGCTAGAAATGTTTTCGACAGGTTTCGATGAAGCTCAGCTCGAGAACAGTGGCTCATCGAAGATTTCGATATCCTGAAATTTTACATATTTTTGCTGCAAACATGCCTAACAGTGCGACGATACATTCTCAATACAACTTTAAGTTTTCATCGACTTCTCAGGAGGATAGACTACTTCGAAAACAAGAAAACCCTGGGTCCCGTTGCACCATGCAAACTAGTGAAAAGGCTCGTATGGCAATGTTCAGCCATCTATTATGCACAAATATCAGAGATTGAGAACTCTTTTAACGTATACAGGAAAAAAAGAATGCGGATATTAAGAGTTGCGAGACATGAAGCATACCGTCTCAGTTTCCCTCCCCTAAGCAGACTTGTACGTGCATACGAGCCTTAGAGAGTATCTCCCGAGCACTTTTTGCAGAGGTAAATTAGATGAATCATTCAAGATCAGATTTTTCAAAGTTACACAGTCAAAGATCTGGAACGTTGCTCGGTACATAATTTTACAACCTATCCTTTTGAACTTCGAAAAGTTTACGCTGATCGGGCTTCTCTACGAAAAGTATGATTTTCGATTATTACACTGAATAATCTCAAAGATCATAACTCTTTATAGAGTCGTCCAATTAGCACAAACTTTTCATGGTTGGAAAAATAGTTTGTAATACTTATATACTGATAATTCCCGGCTTTTGTGCAACGTTTCAGATTCTTGACGGCACAATCGACTTACATGGTCTTCTCCTCCAATTTTATCTCTGCTAACAGTGCTCAAAAGAAATTCTCTAATACAGTGCTACAAATTCGAAGACTTCTTCTTTCTAATAAAATTACAGCAAAGCGAATCTATTAAAATGGCGAAAAGTTACGACTTCTTAAAAATACGACAAAACTTTCGAAACGACCTAACACCTACCGGGCATTTCCAGGGTCAAGCGTGGGGTGCGGCACACCACACCTGGGGGGTCGTATTGAGGAGTCAAAAGGGGAGGGGGTCGTAGTTGGGTAATCTGATAATTGTGATAACATGATATTCGTATTCTATCCATAATTAGCATGTCAAATAATCCCTGTAGACAAAGAGCGAATTCTGAAGATTCAAGATACTAGGCTACCTAAGTGAAATGGTCATTTTTCAACATGATTAACATTGTTTCAAAGGTGAATTAGCTATCCGTTTTTGCACTCAAGACAAAGCACTACTCCTTCTTTGTCCACCTCAGAAATCCCGCTTCAGAAGACCTGCAAACTGTGGAATTAGAAGCCAACCAAAATCTCGTTTTTCCCAATTTTCGCTTTTGATCGCTGTGCTTTTACCAAATATTATTTGGAGCTAAGAAGACGAATCAGGCTCAAAACAGTCCTATGGAATCTACAAGGTTTAGGCTATCGATTCATATAAATAATGTCCGCTAAAAATGTTTTTTTGATATAGCTAATGGGGTGCGGCACACCCCCTTAAAAGCTGCGGCCGCCGCAGCTTTTAAGGGGGTGTGCCGCACCCCATTAACTATATCAAAAAAACAATTTTAGCGGACAGTATTCATATGGATCGATAGCCTAGATCTCCTAGTTTTCAGGAGTAATAGGAGTCTACAGGAGTAATAGCCTGATTCATTTTCTTTGCTCTGAGTAATAGTTGGTGAAAGCACAGCCATTAAAAGCGAAAAATGGGAAAAATGAGCTTTTGGTTGGCTTCTAATTCCACAGTTTGGAGGTCTTCTGAAGCGGGATTTCTGAGGTGGACAAAGGAGTAGTGCTTTGTCTTGAGTGCAAAAACGGATAGCTAATTCACCTTTGAAACAATGTTAATCATGTTGAAAAATGACCATTTCACTTAGGTAGTCTAGTATGTTGAATCTTCAGAATTCGCTCACCTTTATCTACAGGGGTTATTCGACATGCTAATCATGGATATGTTGCCCATTAAGCTTGACAGGCCTTCAAGTAATGCTATCTTAAGTGTATAGTTTAGGGGGGGTCTTATTAAGACAGCAATCAGGGGGGGGTCGTAACCAGCGATCGTGTGCCACACCCCTTGCTTGACCCTGAACATTTCACATCAGCATAGCCTGTGCACGTTTGAGCTGGTTCAAAGTTCTGTCGCAGCGGTTACTGTCATCTTAGGATAGAAATGAAGAAAATGATATGTTTTATAAGAACCTAATCTCTCTTCATTGAGTTTAGTGAGACAAAAATTTGGAAGTGGAGAAAAGAAATCTCAAACTTAATGTTCTGAGTTAGACCGCAAAAAGTTTGGAACATTCCTTGAAATTCGCTGCAATCGGAACAATGATTCTCAAAACTTATTATTTCTGGTTGAGCAAAGTCGGGGCAAATTAAAAACTTCTATGAAGTTTCTCAGGATGCCGAGAAGTAAGGATATTGCCTGTTTTCTGAAAAATCACACTTTAGAGAGACGTTTGGTAAAAAAAACCGTGCACAAGAGAAGGTCATAAAATTCATAAAACCTTTTCCGAATCTATTGCAATAATTTCGTAATTTTGGCGACCTAAGTCAAAGCCCTAAGAGCTTGACTATTGTCTTTTTCGACCTTTATAATTCAAACTTGGAAGCGCTAAGGTATTACAGATGATCTCTCCTCTTCAAACGCTAAGCTCAACAAGTCGGAAAAAACACCTTTATGTACAATAGAACTGTCAATCTAATTATGAGAGACTCTGTGTGGCGCTTACATTCATGCGATCTATCTAAATAATAAGTTTTTATTGATAAATTGTTAATTAGGTTAGCGCACACAGATCTGCCACAGCAAAACTCGAAAAACATCACAAAAGGAAAAAATTCCCGACGGCAGTACAAAAACATTACAACAAAGTAACTTTTCAGAAGTAATTCAAGATGACCTGCATCGTGCTCGCATGCGCGAGAACTCACGCGAAACTGATGGGTGCTATGAAATCATGCAAACATGTGAAGTTTTCCGCTAGTACGATCTTAAATCGATAAAATTGATAAAAGCGACCGACGATTCAGAAGATGAATGTTGTACCGTAATCAGCAGGCTCACTTGTCCCCCCCCCCCTCATACCAACTCGTAGCCCCGTAGATCAAAGTTTGCAAAAAAATCGAAAAAAAGCGATAGAGTCCATATAAATTCGATGGTAGTCTACATACCCGCCCCGCCCCGAAGTGTATGTGGGCCAGGTTTGGTCTGGATCGGATCAGAAATAAAAATTTGTATTCGGAACATACGTGCATGCGTACAAACAGACAAAGAGACAGACATTCAGCTTTATATACAAGACTAGCGACCCTACGGGTCGTTAGCAAGTGGGTTGGAGCAGATACATTGATACATAAGTTCGGGTGTCGCTGTAAATACAGGGTGTCCCAAAAGTTATGCACTGTTTGATCGTTGATATCTCTTTCCCCGAGAGGTCTTTTGCCTTCCTCTAAGCACCATTTTGTGAAGCTGGCTTAAACTTAGATTTAAAGTATGGAGCGAATCACGGGTCGTTCTTCACTAGTGTAAGATTACGATAGGAACTTTTAACCTATAGCGTCATTACGGATTTACCGTGTTTCAAAAAAGTTTCCAAAACATCTGAAAAGTGGTGTACTAGGGTCTTTAAACTCGCTGATTTTATTACTCTATTTTTTACGAGTTTGCAAAGCTTTTGAAATGGTGTAGTCACAATTTTATGGAGTCTTGTAAAAACAGCTATTGCGGTCTACATGGCATAACTTATGAAGGAAGCATTGCGGTAAAGTGCAAACATCATATTTAGTTTTAGCGGCTTCAATTGGCCTAGCATAAAAGTTTTCTGGTTGTTCGGCTTGCTTCCTGAGGCGAAATAGGGTCCTTGATGGCTCACAACCCTTCTTGAATTTTTCACCGTAATCCTACAGTAAGGAAGAGAGATCGGTGGTTCGCTCCATAC